CCCTCAATGAACTTCACGCCCAGCTCAACATAGCCGAACAGGAGGCCATCGCCAAAGAAACTGCCGCGCGCCAAGAAATCCGCGAGGGCTTCCTCTATTCACCCTCCGGTGGCCTCTTTCTCGATCTTTTCCGCCAGGAGTTGCTCAAACTCTATCACGATTCCATGCTGTTTCTCGGCAAGCTCTACCCGACCGCAAAACAATATCTCTTGATTGGCGCCACCCGAGCTCTAGAACAAGCTCGCGCCACTAGGAAGTTGGATGGCTTCATTGAGGCCGACCTGATTCGGAACACTCCCGATCCGGAGGGGTGGTCCGGGGACTTCAGTCAGCCCCTTGAGTATCCATGGTGGGAGACAGCGCTCGAAAAAGCGTTACATGAACTAGCCCTCGTCGAAGCGGGAAAGGAACTGGAGCCCGTGGGTGACAATGGAGGAAACGGCCACAATGCTCGCTCGCCGGACAGCGAAGCCACCGAGGACGCGCTGATCGAGCACGGAGTTCTCGCCGAGGAGAACACTCAAGCTATTTAGATTTTTTTAACTACCAAATTATTGTATTTTTAAATATTATCATATATAAGATTTTAAAGTTCATAATTTAACTTTTAAAGTAGAAGAAAATTAGTTTAGCTCAATAATATTAAAATTTATAATCATATACATTTTTCACTCATTAATAGTGAATTTTAAATTAACTCTCACATTAATTTAGGACTTTTAAAGTAGACAATGAATTATAATTTATAGATTTTATTATAAGTAATGTATTAAAGATGAAAGTATTTAACATCATAAAAAATAAAAAATGGAACAGTGTGGATGTTAACTGATTTTAAATAAATAAAAATGAAATCTTAATATAATTATATTTGTATGTGTGTCTATTTTAATCTTGACCACCTCATTCATTTCTCTATCACTTTTTAGTTCTTCTATATTTTTATTTAGGGAAATGCTATGGTCCCATTACGGTATCATCCCGTCAGATATTTTAACTGTAACATTTATCTTTTATTAAAGTTCATATTTTGCATTTCCACCAATTTATTAGATTGAATGTATAGTAATCTTTTTTGCAATCCAAAGATTTTAAGTACAGTTTCAATGGGTAATTTATATATTAAAAAAAA